AAGTTAGGGAGTCTGAAAAACACCTCCCTGTTATGGGACAGAGATTAGGAGAGGGGGATATGTACTGTAGTTCAGGAGGGAACTCAGGAGGGAACTCAGGCAGGGCTGATCAACACTTCTAGGGATTTCAGTGCAGCAGAGGCAGTGTTGTCAAAAAGTTGTTAGGAGTTCCCGGGATTCTCGAGATCAACAGATTTTATTTTCTAATTGGAATGTTTTTAAATAGACAAAACATGGGTAAATGTGTTTGTACTGCAAAGATGTAATAAATATACATATTTTTTCATTTTGCTGTGACACTTTAAGATCAGCTCTATGTTATGTACCTTTGAAGATTCTAACCTGGTAGAGCTAAATATCCACTGTGTGAGTAAAAACTGTAATGCACTTAATTGGGGTTTGTGATAACCCACCTCACATAAAGGACTGTGATAAAGTTCAATGAGGCTACAAATTGAAAAGGCATCAAACAGAAATGGGGTCCTTATTATGTGTGATTTTAACTATCCAGAGCAGAACATTGAAGCTATTTGTTATAGTAAACGATGCAGCTTTTCACCCACAGTATAAAAAGGCACCTTACAAAAGAGATGAATGACCCCAGAGGGGAAGGTCTGCAAGATGTGGTTATTTCTAACCGAGCAGATTCCATATCAAATGTGTAGGTCTGCAACATATGGACAATAAATACACTTTTTACTGCTAAATTTGAGTTTTGTGTCTAATAAAACGCTGAACAACACAGCTAAATATACAATCGATTTTTAGAAGACTCAAGTATCAAAAACTCAGAGGAGACATTTGCGTTGCTGATTGCGAAGGTTTTGCTTTAAAAAAAAAAAAACTGATTCTAAATGATATATATTAAAAAGTGACACTAAAGTGACAGGAGTTAAATCTCAAAAATACATTCAGGTACCCTAACTATTAACAAAAATGTATCTTATTTGTGTATTACTCAGCTGTAGATCCTCAAGGCCTTGTCCACACCAGACACAGTGCGTTCCGGCCCGATTCTGGCCAGAACACACTGCATCACAATACGGCCGGCTCGCTATGTTGTGGGGCAGGAGGGGGGTCCATTGAATTGAATGACACTGTAGCCACGCCTTCCGGCCGCAATGCAATCGGCCGCACGCGAATGCAAGGCCGATTGCATTGCCGTAGGCAGCCGAGTGAACGACCGACCTAAAGCGAAGTGAGCCGAACGCTATTCACTTCAGGCTGGTACGACTGACTTCAGCCTACCAAGCAGAACAGAAAAATAGTTAAAAAAGGAGAAAAAAAAAGAAAACAATTGTGCGGACCTAGCAATGACAGCTAGCTCCACCCAACTGTTTTCTATAGGCCGGCGGTTCTGCTGCTGTCAAAAAAAAGAAAAAAATAAATACATTTTTCACCATAGGAATGCATTGCTAGATTCCTATTGGCCATTTCAATTTGCAATAGCCAATATTCTGACGCCAGCCAACGGCTCCGTGTCAGAATAAAAAAACAGAAAAAGCAGTGTTTCTCTCCTTGGCGGCCGGGAGCGGGAGACTCCCAGATCGTCCGGGAGAGTTAGACTGTATGGAGATCAGTGTCCCTGGTTAGCTGGTAACCAGGGATGCTGATCTCTCTGCAAGTGATCTTACGGCTGGCTCCGCCCAGCTGTCAGAAGCAGGCTGTTGGCCGGCCATATGGCCATATGGCTTCAGCTCGAGTGAGCCGCCCGGCCGACTTTGGGAGCTGTACCGGCTATAGTCAATAGCCCGTACAGCAGCCCTTCGGTTCTACTGAACCGAAGGGGTCCTGGGGCAGAAGCTAGCCGAAGGGTCGGTCGAAGCTACAGCTAGATCCTTCGGCTGTTTCGTGAATAAACCCCAGTGCCTGTGGTTTGGTCCGAACAAAATAGTGCTTGTAGAATTTTGTTCGGACCGGACCAGACCGCAGGCATTGATGTGCCTTGTGTTCCCGTGCGGCGGATCGCATTGCAGCCGGAGGGCGTGGCGATCCATTGAAGTGAATGGCACCATAGCCACACCCTCTGGCCCCAAAACATAGTGAGCCAGCCACAATGCGATGCAGTGCGTTCTGGTCAGAATCGGGCCAGAACGCACTGTGCCTGGTGTGAATGAGGCCCAAATCATCTCTGAATTGGTCCTGATATTGTCCTATCTTCTGGAAGCTCTCTCCTGTGATGGACTACAATCTCATGTTTAGTTTAATAATTTGCATTCATTTTATAGTCTATCACAGGAGTGAGCTTGGAGAGGTGGATACTTTACAACACACACAGGAATCATTATGTCCGTATGAATTCAGAGATGATTTGAGGATCTACAGCCGAGTGATACACAAATAAGATACATTTTTGTTAATAGTTGAGGTACTTGAATGCATTTTTAAGATTTAACTCCTGAGTTTAGTGTCACTTTAAAAAGTTGAAATAAATACTGTAGTATTTATAAGTGTATACAACATTTATTTTTTTTCCTCTTCAAAGATTTTATTTGTTTTTAGGAGACGGGGGGGCTGGGCCTTCCAAATTTCTATAAATACTACCAAGCTGCACAATTGGTCCCCTTAATAAACTTTTATACGACTCTATACAGCCCAATCTGGGTAGACCTAGAAGAATATATCTGTTTTCCTGTATCATTGAAGGCTATTCTTTGTCTGCCGGCCCGACTACGTCCAAAAGATATGTGTCCATTTCTGAAATATATGCTTAAGATCTGGGACAATATAAAATACTGCTGTGATCTGCAATCACCTCATGCACCGCTACTCCCAATCATAGGTAATCCCCTGTTTCCACCGGGAATGGAAGTGCCAAATGCCTTTGGCTGGTGGATAAATCAAGGGGTGACATGCCTTCACCAGTTAATGGTAGATGGTAGGATCGGTACATGTTGTCCTGCTTTCAGAACAACATGCAAGCCCCAGCCTCAGAATATTTCAGATATTTACAACTTAGGCACTGGGCTATACCAATGCTTTTTGAAATTTCAGATACAGTGGAATTAACGTTTTTTTGAAAATATCTGTTTGAAATGCCCCACGGCACCTAAATTAATATCAATACTATATTCCCAGCTAAATAGGTTATTAAAGCCCAGTGACCATAAATATACACCAAAATGGGAAAAAGAACTTGGAGTTGTTAAACAACAGAAAGAATGGCTACAAATATGGAAATCAACAGCCACGTGCTCCATTAATGTAAACTCTCTGGAAACCGCATTTAAAACTTTAACTGGGTGGTATTTTGTGCCCTCCAGGTCGGTTTACTCCAATCCGACACATTCAGATCTTTGTTTTCGAGGATGCGATTCTAGGGGGGATGCGGTTCATACCTGGTGGACATGCTCGAAAATGGATAGGTTCTGGTTAAAAGTATTTCAGATGAATAACAATCTTTTGCACAGAAGGTAAACAATGTGAAACAAATTGCAATAGCCAATAGCAGGCTGGCTATTGTACACGTGCACTGAGCAGATGAAGCGGACCTGAGAGAGAACTTGCTATTAACCCTCAAGCAACCAGAAACAACAGTTATCCGTCATCTACCGATCCCCCGGGGTGCCGGATAACTGGGAGTTTACTGTTTTTCTTTATATGTCTTTCTCTCCCTGCGACAATAGCTTCCCTCATTTCTTGTTCAGCTCCCATAGGATATCATAGAGACAAGAAGTAAGAGAAGATCTTCCTATTGGCACCATGAACAGCACTTTACTCTTACCAAGTCTCTCCAAAAGAATGCTGGAGTTTGGCTGTCCCTAAAAATTATTTTAAAGTGTATGTAAAGCCCAAACCTTTTTTTGTTTTTGTTTTATAAGTAGAATAGGGAAGGGTTGACACCCCTATCAGGTTTTGTTTTTTGTTTTGTTTTTTTGCTATCTGTGCTTGGGAGATTCCACTTCCTGTCTTGGAGATGCAAACAAAGTTAGGGGAATTTCCCTCATATACAGTTGTCACCAGAAAATGTGTCTACAAAAAAAAAATTTGCCTTAAAAGAATTGCCAACTATGTTTTATGATTAGCATACATCAGCTATCTGTTTATGTTCCGTGAAGGTGTATTACCCACCAACCAAATGGTGATACAGCAATGCAGTGTCTACTATTTCCATGGAAGCAAGTAAATATGTTTTTCCACCAGATAGTATAGATACCTTATCAGGCATAACCAAAAATAATTACACATCCATTTATGAAACTGATGATTTAATTCAAAATGAAATGCAAACATGAGATGCACATACAGTACACAGCCTACCTTCTACCTTGTTTTGCTGCTATCACCTAGGTGCTATATTATTATTTGAGTAACTCTCTGCACCAATGAAATTTACAACCAAAAACTGGATAATCACATTGGAAAAGTAAATTCAGATAACAAAAGTTATTTTATAAAATCTCCAATTGTTTTCCATATTTTTCTATAGTGTGGAATGGTTAGAACCTCTGCCAGGTTTGTATACATCACCACTGGAAATATTAATGTTCACTATTTGTCCTGGCGACCACTGCCACAGTTACCGAAAGTGATGGGAAACACAAAATTCTATTACATTTGCAATGTTGGCTGGAGTAATCCATTAAAGACCTAACCACTAACTGGATGACATTTGGTTTCTTAATCACTGTGTATTATGAACAATTCCCTTTGTTCAGTCTTCTTCAAGCAATATCCTGTTACATGCACTGACTCCAGGCTGCAAAAATCATTTCTTTTGACCAGTTTACCACTGAAGTGGAACTGCAGTGGACCATGTCCATGTCTGTGTCAGCATAACCGCTCATAGCTTTACCTGAGGTGCATGGCAAATGCAGGAGAAAAACTGGAGGACCTTTGTCACCCTATAATGGAAAGTCTGAACAAGGACCACCAGGTATTATTTTGATGAAAGCTGATGAATGGTCAAAGTGACAGAGTCTCTTTAAATTCCCCTTTAAGCAGAGCTCCATTTTAACCAGGTGTAGTGGTAAACATCTGACATATATCTACACTCCTACCTTAATTCACGTTCAATCTGGAAACCTCTCTTTTTCGCCAGTTCCATTAGGAAATTCCTCCTGCTTGTCCCCATCTTCCTTTCTACAAGAAACAGGACAATTCCTTTAAATTTCACTTCATAGTGGCAGAAGGAAGAAGAGCCATGTAGAATTTTGGGTCTCTTTTTGACAGGGATCAGCCCTGACCCTCTAACAAGATCCATGATAGAAACCTATTGCCAGCGTAATCACGAATGAGCCAAACATTCCTCTGCCAGCTGCTTTTTATCACAAGTCATTTCTGTCAGTTTTCCTGCCTGGCTGGTGGTTTTTATGCACCACTTCTTGTACATCTGCAGAGATAATTCACTTTGAACAGAAACTAAATTATTTTATAGCAACATATAACTAAATACCACCAAACAGATGTTCATTCCATTCCCCACCAACAATAACCTGCTTGTCCCAGTTAGATGCAATAACATGTTTGTCATTTTGCGATGTTCTGAATGTATCCATCATGCCATGCCATGCAATGCTATAAAAAGGGACCAACATCATATATTCCCAAGAATTGCTATCATAAGGATTGCAAGCATTCAATAAGTGAAGTTAGAACTAAAGATATGTTTCAGTATTTCAGAATGTAAGCAAGCCACTGGATAAGCATTCCAGCCAGGCAGTTACAATTTCAGAAGGTGGCAAACAATAACAGCCTACATATATACATATATAACCTTCAGTATAGGATTCCTAGTAAATTAGATAGGTAGAGACACAATTGCACAGTGCAATGCTGAGCCTTAACGCAACTCATGTATTGCAATAATATGGCCTGCATTAAGGCAGGTCATTGTTTTGAATAACGCACCACAACAGACCTAAAAGTCCATTTTGGATTTAGGCAATTCCAGGTTATCCTCCATTCTCCACAGCTCCCCCTTTGTACCAGTGATGGAAAGACTTAAGCAGGGAACTGGTAAGAACCCTCCATTGGACTTATTATACTTTAATAAGCCTATCACAGAGTTTGATTTGAAGGTGCAAGTCAGCTTTCTATTATTACTGATTTAATAAAGTGATTTTCTGTGCAGTCTGCTGCACTCTGTGTCTTTCTTTGTTTTAGATTAAGGTCCGTATTGCATGACCATCACACCGACATGTGCTTGTTGGACATCCCATTCCAAAACTGTGGTCATTAATATGGATTTGGCCCCCAGCTATAACACTCTGCACTCCTCTGGGAAGGCTTTCAGATACTAATGCCAGACAGGAAGACCTAGCTTGCAATTGGGGTTCCAATTCATTCCAAAAGTGTTGTATATGGTTGGGGGTTCTGTGCAGGCCACTGGAGTTTCTCCACACCTAACTCAACAACCCATGTCTTTATGGAGCTGCCCAGTCAAGCTAGAAGAGAAAAGAACCTTTCCAAAAATATTGACACACGGTTGGAAGTACACAGTTGTCTAAAAAGTCCTATACTGTAGTACTAATGGTCACAGTACCCTTAAAGTGAAACAGTTTAACTCAATAATTTGGAGATGTGTGCACATATTTTTGACCATGAAATAGGTGTGATGGTTAGGTAACCTTAAATTCTTGGCCATATAGTGTACTTGGTAAGCACATTCTATTTCTGTTGTTGTTGTCGCTAATATGGTCATAAGCAGCAAACAAAATCCATGTTCAATATTAGCCAATGCTTTATGTGCCCTTTAAAGTTTTATGATCTCGTAGTGTTTTGTTCGTTTGGTTATAAGGCCTCTTCGTGTGCTGATAATTTGTCACAGATGAGATTGATGCATCCGGGACTGTCCAAAGGTAAAATCATGTTAGTTTGAGAATGTGTTGTCCTTGTCTGTGGATAAAATAAAGAGCTCCTCTTCATTTTACTGATGCTGTTCCCTTTCTTCTCAGCGTCATACTCTGTACAGTCTATTTGTTATTTATTACTCCTCAGAGATTCTTGTGATTTCTTGTGCAGCCTTGGCTTTATATTTGTTGCTAAGTATTTCCCCTATTATCGCGCTCCTCTGTACACGGTGTCTAGATGTTTAGAAATAATTTAGAAGTTCTGCCTCATCCTTTTGGGAGCCGTCTCTGCAGGATAGATTTATAATGTAAATTAATGCCAAAATATCAAGGGAAAGTGAATGTGGATTTCTGGGTAAAATTTTCAACTACCACCATTTTATTCTATAGGGTCTTGGCATTCAGAAAATATATAATGTTGGGGGGTTTTACGTCATTTTCAGGCCTAAAATGTGGAATATAACATGGGTGCAAAAATTGAAAAAAGGGCCTCAGTCATGAAGGGGTTAAAAAAAAAGCGCTAAACATAAAATCGATAAAAGAAGGATTAAAATTCTAAATACAATAATTCTGAGCTGCACCTTGTATGCTTTAAAGTAATGATGTACTTGATGCAGTTGAGGCACTACAGGCTTTGAAGACAAAAATTGCACATAATACACAGGAGGCCGGGAGCAGAAAAGTCCACAATGCCGCCAGTCAACTAACTTTAAAGTAGAGCTTTAGAAAAAAATCAAAAGTTACATCCAGTATGTGATGCAATCTGTCATTAGCATTAAAAAGGCACTTTCTAGCTGACACAGTGCACCACAATGCATGGTAGTGGTGCACTGCAAAGCATGTGCAGCGGAGGTGTATTGGATTAATGCGTTGGAGGGGGGGTCATTAACAATGAATGGCATCACAATGCAGGTAAAGAATGTTTCTACAATGCGGATGTGTAAATGGGCCCTAAGTTCCTGCAGATCGAACGATGTGCTGTCAATCAGAAGGGCTGTGGTCAGAGCTAGAGATGGCTATTCGATGGTAGGGCTATCAACAGTACCAACATCTAAGCAGCTACAGAAGCAGCAAGTGTCTTACAGTGATTTAATTTCAGAAGGGGTGTTGTAGTGTTGTCACCCTATATCCACTGGTTCCACTGTTAGGATCAACAAGTATTGTAAGAGAAATCCTGTGTGCATTAAAGTTCCTATGCATGCTAAGAAACCTGTGTTCAGGGTCAAAGGGAAACGTGTGCTCTCATGCACATACGTACATACGCACAATTGAAGATGCGTTGAATGCGCGCACGCGCACGCCAGCAAGCTGACACACAGGAAGTGACATTGGATAAGCATATATAAACTGCCATGTTTGGCTCCCTCCTTGCTGATTGATCTTCAGCTAGCCCTATTGTGTGTTCTGAAATCCTGTTTGTTTCCTGTTGCTACTGACTTATTTTCTTGCCTGCTGCCTGCCTCCTGTGACCCCAGCCTGTTTTAAGGATTTTCTTCTTGTCTCCTGCCTTGTACCAGCTCTAAACTCCGGCTTCTGACCTTGGCTTGTGACCACAACACTGCTCCTGGCTTTCGATTTGGTACCACATTGCCCAGCTGCCTCGACCTTGGTTTATGACCCCGAACTTGCTCCTGTCTGCTGTTCATACTTGATTCCACCCGGCATCCAGACTGTTCTTGTTCTGACACCAAGTGCCACTCTGTGCCCACACATTCCCTGTGCCCACACATTCCAAGGGGTGTTGGACAAGAGACGCAAAGGGCGTTTGCTCCTCCATTCGGTCTCCATCAAGGTACGTAACAGTACATGACAAGTATTTACAAAATCTTGCAGGGCCTACAGGTGAAACTCGAATAATTAGAATATCATGCAATATATCTCATATATTAGTTTCACCTTTTAAGTTGCATTATTGAAATAAATGAACTTTGCACGATATTCTAATTATTCGAGTTTCACCTGTACATAGAAAACCAGAGAGTCTGGTCTTACTGTTATTGGCAGCCTACACCACATACTGTATGTGATTTTATAGTTTGATCATAGTTGTACTTTATATCTTTCAGCTTGAACTTTGTACTGCTGGTTGTTTAAAATGTTTGCTTTTACAAACAGTGCGATTGGATATGTGTACCAGCATATTGACAATACTCATGGATGGGTAGAGCAAGGATGGTAAACATTCACAGGGATTCTTAAAGCTGGGAGGCCATCTTTTCTATAGCAAGAAAAACCACAAGCATCCTCTCTCCTCAAGACTTCATATCTTAACAAAATAATTTTATTTTCCCCATTGCAAGTTGCCAGCTTTGGCTCAACCAGGTGTGAGGTGTAAACAGTGCAGTCGTCTGTTATTTTTATCACAGGGCACTCACTTTAAAAAAGTCAAGCAGCATCCTAAACTTAAGTACTGAAAGGGCTTTTGCAGAATTTTTTTTAATTCCCCAGCCTCTAATTATATTCTAGTTCAACAGGCAGAACCAGGACTTGACTACACACACATGCTGGAAGAAGATTACCAACAGATGGCCTGCTAACATAAGATGCAGAAAGAAGAAGACAGATTGCAATAAGAGAAGCTCTGCTACAGCATGGAAGAAAACTCATCTGTTGTGTAAATGTGCCTCAACGTGCACTTTGCTCTTTTCATGCTTGATAAAAGGCATGCTGTCCTTACCCATGTGTTATGTACTACGAAGGAAGACGTATGTATAACAGTGAGACAGGCAGATCTGGGTCATGTATCTGTGTCATCTGTGTGAGGTTCTTTTGTAGAGGCATAGCCCACCAAATGTCAGGGTTATCTTGTCTATGTGTGTCAAATCATATAGAAGACATTTAATGGCTATTTGAATTATGTATAAACTTAAAAGGTACCTGTTTACCGAAGACCAACCCAAGGTAACAACCACAAAATGAGTCCATGCATGGTCCATTATCGAATCTCATGACTTGTCCCGAGAAAAAGAGGGGCACCTTTCGGAGAGAACCAGCATGTATACTGTTTATGCTAATTGGCCGGGTGCTAAGTAATATGTTACTCTTCTAGGTATATATCACCTCTTGCATATATCACAATACTCCCCCCTTACAATGCTTTTTTTTGCTTTTCTTTCCAGAAAGATGATGTCATCTTTGTTAAGAGCATCATTCGGGTCAGCATCTACCTTCTGGATCTCTATGCTGACTTTATGCAGAGATAACATTATTATGTAAATGCTGATGCAATTCTTGGCTTCTCTGTAAAAAAATAAGTCAAGGCAACTGGACTTTCTGTATTTTTCTTGAAGACGTCCAGTTGCCTTGACTTATTTTTTACAGATATACCATGACCTAGATGAATGAGAACCTTCACAGACAATTCTTGGCTTTATTACCAGATGTCTGAAAAATATCAAGGCCCCAATACAGC